TACGACATGACAACTTGTACAGTAAGTGTAATGGGACTTTGTATGGGTTAATGTCCCATCGATTGCAACAATAATTATTGAAATAGTAAAATAGATTCAGAAATAAATATATTATATCAAACAAAAAATACAGGCTTGTGAAATTGAAATTGCATATAATTAGATTTGTTTTGATATAAATGAAAATATAGTTATGTTGTTATAAATTTATATTTGTTTTAAAATGTCAATAACAATATTAATAAGATAATAATAGTATTTTTGTGTAGAAATGTCAGTGACTAAACGCTTTGAAATCACAAAGCATATTTAGTGTAATAATGTAACGTTGAATGACAAATGACTGGGTTTAAGCAACTCTCAGAAGATCCTTTTTAAGCAGAAAGCAGTTAATATTTATGTTGTAGTGCCATTTTGTGTAGACCTACAGTATTTCACTTAATTGTGTCTTCATTTGTTGTTTAATGTTAGTGTATCTCGTTCAGGGGGGGTCATTGTATATTGGACAAATGTTAGTGAGTCGACCACCAAAATAGATTAAAGCATTGCAATAATTATATCAGCAAAAGGGCTTTGTTGACCGCCGTAACCTAACCACGTGTGTGTATAATTTTACGATCCTTCTATTTACGTTTATTTACTAACATACAAATTATTTAAATTGTTACAATATTATTCTATAAATATTATAAATGTGAAAATGTGTAAAGACAATTTGGGCGTTCTTAAGTGTTTGTTACTCAATCAACGAATGGATTTGAATACAGTTTGGTACACTAGTATATCGTATCCTGATATGCATATGTAGGTATCTACTACTTGTATCAGAATGTAAATATTTTGTGTTAATTTAGGTAGGGTCTATCTGTGTACTCAATTTCATTCAAGCTGTGTAACCATTGTTATTGTGATAAACTAACAAACATATTATTAATTAAAGTATACCAATAACTACTGAGTGGAAAAGAAATTATGGCACCACTTTTTTCCTAAACTGATCATATTGGTTGAATTATTCAATAATTAAATATTGAATAACTAAACTAATTATAACTAAAAACTACTTTTTAGCATAAAAATGAAAATTGTTTACACGTGATAATAAAATATTTAGATAAATAGTGATTTGTGAACAAAAATTTAAGAAATAGTGATGTGACATTCAAGTGATGTATTTGAAACAAACTATGCAGTTCCTACTTGTGCCTAGAAGACAATTGAATATGGAATAATGGAAATATATTAGGATGCCTTGAATATTAATGAAGAAACCGAAGATGGGAGCGCATGGTTCAAAAGAGAAGCTATACAGAAGTAATTCTGAGAAATATCCATCTAAACTACCGGTTCCTAGTGACAAAAAATATAAGATAGCGGTAAATCGAGAAAGATTCGGGTCTTTCGGCGCAAGAGGTGAGTATTTTGATAATCTAATAATATAAATTCATTTACAAATTAATAAAAAGAAAATACGTGTATAAAATGATATAAAATAGAAACGAGTTCTTGTTTTACAAATGAAGTAACTAATACATTATTATTTAATTTATTATTTACGATTATAATTTGATATGTGTGCTTTATTTATTGTGATAATTTATGTTAATAATTTTTATGTAGTATGTACCAATGTAGATACCTATACCGTTTACATGTGACAGGATTAAAGTTCTTTAGACTGTAGTTTAATAATGAATCACGTCCATTAGCTTTATACCACAAAGCACCTGATAAATCACGGCCAATGACTTAAGATTTTCTTTTTATGAATTAGTATGCTAGTGACTAGTGAAATTTATAGAATGCCTTTAACAAGTAATTATACGTACGAGTATTTCATATAACATTATTGCTCGGACGTCTTTTATTCTAATATAATATTTAAATAAAATTTGTCACCTCTTTTTTCGATATTTATTTGTAGTTTATTCGAATCTTTAGAAATAGTATAATATTAGTCGCGTGTTATATAGAATTAGAAAAACTATTTTGTATAAAATCTCCTTTTAAACAATTACCTATCATCTTTGCTTTGCTTTTATCCCATTGTTTAATACATATTACACACATAAATCGGCACAGTGTAGTTTCCTTTTTTATTCGTTTCAGTCAGTCATTTCTGAACTCATTGTCTCTTTCTTAGTGCATTACTATCTGTTAAGAACTTTATAAATCACCTCATAGTAATGAATGATATACGCATGCCTGTATTATAATCGTTTATATTATTATCTATGTATTTCCTTATAGCATATTCAATAAACATAAAGGTAAACATAATTTTTACTACTTCTGCTTAAATTTTTATTTCTGTACGGTTTAATTTTTAAATAATTTTGATGACAAAACGTATACCTAAATTTCTCTTGAACTATTTTAAATGCATAAGTTCAGTGTACTTCTGTAACTAAGTAGATTTTGAAGAAATCCTCTGAATAATGAAACGAGAGTCAACGCACTGTAACTACTTGTTTTGTGTCTACAACTAGTTTAATTGATGATTAGTTGATTGAACTTCATTTGGAATAAATATCCTCGAATATGAGAAATTAACTTTATGTACAAAAATGTGAGTCCAAATTATTGTTTATTGTTATTTTATTAAACTACTATATACTGTATAAGGGTATTGATCTTTGGTGCCAAAGGTTTCTACGTCACCTTCGTTATATAGGACGTATCAACTTTCTGAAGTCGCTTACCGGATGATAAATTACATTTTGTTAATTTTAAATATTCACGTTGTTTACACATTTACAGGTAAATAGTACCTTTATATCTAATTGCTATTGCCTATGTTCCAAAGTGTCATTGCGTCTCGTTAAGTCCTGAACTAAATTTTATTTAAACTAAATTTATTTTTAATACAATTGGGTACTAGCTCAGTCGGACAAAACTTGACTTTGCAAGAGATAACAGCTTAGCTTACTCTTAGTTAACTAGCCTCGTGTTATAACTGGTGAGAGATATATGAGCAGTGGAGTTATATTCAGTGACGTTCTAAATGTAGTTCATGTCTATTATACGACGCGGGTTGTTTTGTTATCTACGAGTACATAGAAAATCTGTTTAGTACATCGTCAGCTTGTTTGTATTGTATAAACAAACTGTAAATAATTGTTTCTATACCTAATAATTCTTAGGTATGTTTATCTCAGCAAACTTGATGTGCATTCAAGAAACAGGTTTAAGTATTTATTTTATTAAGAATGTCTTCTTATTTTGATTCATGTGAGTTCACGTGGGCGATATATTTATAGCGCTGGTGGAAGTCGTATAAAATAAATCCATATTACAGTTCACGTGTGTTGTAGTAAAATGTGTGTAAACTATCAATATTATAATTTGTATTATATACAGAGTAAAATCGAAGTCATAAACATATCGATTAATTGTATAAAGGGGGAGATTTTTGCATCTCGTTCGTACGATTAGTACGGCACTGAACAAATGTATCTTTTGGTCTTAAATATGCTATGTCCTTAAAAATGGAAAAAAAGAATACTTTCGGTGCATGATAGTATGTGAGATTTTCTCAAAAGGTTATCTACATTAACAATGTGTTTGTTATATCAGTTAACTTTAAAGTCACATTAATAATGTAACAAGCTCAATCTAACCTAGATCTGCTTGCTTAATTTTTAATGAAGACAGAATAAAATAACAAACCGATATCACTATTGATTTTCACAGTAAATTAGTATCAAAAAGTCGCATCTTTAATTATGTGAATGAAGCAATTTTCGAGCTTATTACATACAATAACAATCGTGTCGTGTCACTAAACTGATAAAAAGTTACCTATTTACGCATTTCTTGCTCGTTTGTTGCTCGTGTTCTTTGTGTTTACGCAACAAGTGCCTTCCCACGATATCATCTGATAGATATGAAGAGATAGATGCCCGATTATAATGTGTCGTAACGCAAACAATGAACTTTTCCTCTATAAATTCAGTCTGTCTTCGAAAGTTTTATAAGGTTGTTTTTTATGCAACTGAAAATGGCACATAAGCTGATGACCAGCCTTGTAGAAAGTGGTAACAGTCATCTAAGACGTAAACAACACCATGCACATTATGGAATACACTGTATGACACATGATACTCTTTATGTTTTAATGCGTTCGTACTCTGTAATTTCTCCTCTCAAAGGCTTTGAGGGAAGAGTTAAGTTTGTATTTTGCTTTAATTTAAAGCAAAATGCAATCATGCGAGCATTGCTATTTGTTCGCAAAAAATATACATATTTATGTAGATAATTTATGTGCAAAGTCTGTACCTGGTAATTTGAGCCAGTGGTTTATAAATTTAGTTTTTCTATGTTGGTTACAAATGGGGGTGGGTAATATATACCAGTATCTATATATTTTAGTCACAATATCTGTATATTGGACTAATAATAGATATATCGCTTATGCAATATATAACATCAAAATGAAGAACCCCATCGAAGTGAATATAGACATCGAACTAGTATGGGCGATATCGAAATGGGCAATGACTTTTTTGCTCTCAATGTTCAAAGGAAACTAATATTATATGTTGGAGTGATACTAATATTACTCGTGCCTGTAACTTACACAGAGATATGGGTAAATATAGGCCATTTTTAGTTTTTATGCAAAGCTAACTTCTACAACCATTTATGGAAATGTTTGAAGAAGTTTATAGCTTATAGGAAGTAAATCTTATTAAAGACCATATGAATGAAATAGATAAAAAATTAAATTTAAAATTCTAAAAACATGTTGTTAGAGTATACCAATATCATATGGCCCTTGATCATGTAATTTAGTACACAGATGGATAATATGATATTGTTTATCCTCATTTATTCACAGTCAAAATCTAAGCGAGATATAATTATCATACTTTGATAATTTGAAGTTATCTATCTATATAGTATATTAGATTCTTTATAATGATAAAAACTCTCATTGTGTAAATGTAACATAGAACATAAGATTATATTTATTAATTTTGTTTTCTTTTTAATTTCAGGGAACGGCAAGAAACGGGAGAGCGTCCCGGCGCCAACGAACCCCGCCCGTCCTCCACCTACTCCGCCACAACCTCCCAATGTTCAGGGTGAGTCACATGCTGCGTCATGTTGTCACTATACAGATTAAGGGAGATTATACCATAATACTGGAGGGTTATAATAGCCAATTTATACAAATCGTATATCGTATTCACTTCAACAGTGGTCGTTACTTTCTGGAAATTTATACAATAAATTTATAATAGCTTACGCATACAGGAGATTATTTGTTCGCGGACAATATTTGGTCTTATATTTGTTTTATCTTTCAAGTTTTCGGCTCTGACGCGAATAAAAACCTCGGCGTAAATTTTAATCCGGTCATAATATAACCTGTAAAATTGTATGCAACTACTATACGATACTTGTGCAACTAAGTTTTACATACGCGGAGGGAGAGTGGTTGTTACTAATGGAGATTAATGACCCCATTGTTGGCAGTATACTTTAACAGATCGACTTACATTCGGTCGTCCCTGGAAACCATCTTCGCTAATTTCTGCTGAATTAATTACAATGGGATGACTGACTTGCTTTCGTTCTCATTTATCACTCACTGGTTCTACGCTGTTGTATACTGTATGCAAAGGCGGCTAAACTATTCCATCCCCACTGCTGACAATATACCCTGTTAGGACGACCTTTACGCGGTTCCTCCGCGGATCGTGATAAATCCGTCACAATGGGCCTGAGGGCCTATCATAAAGTATTTTCCATAATTTTGGGACAGATCGAAACACAAATTTGATGTTAAAATTAAAGCTTCATTACTGGACCGATTTTGTTACGAACTTTCTGTTCATGATATTGTGCCCGAAAGTTCGGGATCTTATTTCATGTTACATCCCATGCTTTCATTTTCACCTATTATCACTCATTGGAACATCGCCAGCGTATACCGATTGCGCAGACGGGGTTACCATTCCGTTATCATCTGCTAAGAACTACCATTCCATATTCATTCATTACAAAAAAAAAAAAAAAACATACGGCTTGGAAATTTCAGGCCCTAAAATTCAAATGTCAGATCCTAAAAGTTTTTTATGAAATTTATGTCACAAAATTTAATTATGTAATGAGATAAATTTATTGGCTTAATATTGTGTAACCATTAATAAGGAAGGAGATTTAATGACTGGATTGGATGTCTATAAGTATCAACTAATCGGTTTGTTTGTAGGTAGACAGTGCACGGCTACGAAATAGTCATTGGAGCGAATAAACCTCGGAATTAGGTAGTTCAATGATTACGTTAAATCACAGTCCTGTTTAATATGATTGATACAGAATGTTTTTGTTTTAATATTTATTTCCTTTTAAAATTTTAAAGAGATATGTTATAATAACCTAATTAGTCTTTTAGTTCTATTAACAATTTCTATCTCAAAAGTATTCTGTTTCAATCTAAGGTATGGCTTATTATTGTATCAAAGTTGACTAAAATTGATCGAGTCTTTTAAGTGTGATTAAGCAATTAACAATTAAACCAAGAGGTTTAGATGTTAAAGTTTTAAGACACAAACTTTCACGTTTACAATATTAGTAGCATAGAATATGAAATATGTTTATAATCATGTATAACTAGTAAACGTCTCCCTAATGTTCTGCTAATGTGTTTTATCACAGTCACGAACTGCAAATAAAAGTCTTCACAAACGACACTATGAGTTTCGCAACGCTAGTTACGCAAGTTTTGTTTAAGATATAAACAATGGCGCCTGCGCATAGGTTGTCCTTTAAAAGTGTGTCAAATTGGAACTGGTTCGATCATGTGCCATGCTACGTTATTGAATATATTAAAAACGTTAACGATCATGTAAAGAGAAATTGGGCTTATTGTGACGAAATCTTATTTATGTTATTTTTTATAACTTTTTAAGTAAATGGAGGGATAGTGAAACTATTTATAAAATAAAGTTTTAGAAATGTTTTAGTAATAACGTCAGAATTGGCTCTATTGATACGATTCTAAAAAGTCTAGTAAAACAATAACGAATAGCGATATTACTATTAGAAAGCTCTCAGAATTTAAAAAATATAATCTTATCTATTAAAGCTAATTTTGATAGCATAGTTGATCATTTATAATTTGAGTTAATACCGAAGTCAGAGACTAATTTAATAATATACACATACACAGTATTCATACAAATACCATTATCACTGAAGCTTCTTTATATATACACGAAGCGATTTTGATAACGTAACGATCCGTTTGTCAATCTTTATAATAGAATTGAATCGAATTAACAGATGTAGTTATTTTTTAATGGGTGAAGATGAAATAGTAACACCCCCCCTGCTTTGTCGTTGGCGGGCCACCAGTGAGAGATAATTACTGAAGACAAAAGCCAGCTTGGCATATCGTATCGAATTCACCAATAATTAACCATGATGGTTTTCAGAGGGAACCGTCGACCTGTTAGGATATATTGCTAGCAACGGGGCTGTTAAAATCGATTCGTTATTAAGTGTCCTCCCTAGTAATCCCTTCATGTGGTTGTTTCATAGTTTTATTAATGGATGAAATGAATTACTTATCCATTTGATCCAACCACCTCGTAGTAAAAGTTTGCGCTATTAGTTAACACTGACGAAGTGTCGTCAGTGTTAGGATAAAGTCAGATTAGTTGGCTCATTGTGTTGAATTCACTTATAATCAACTATCGTGGTTTCCAGAAAAGATCGCGTGAAGGTCGATTTGACAAGGTATATTGCTGGCAACGAAGTTTCAAGTCCCCTCTCTCGGCTGTATTATTATGTCCAATTTTATGTTTAAAGACGGACCGTTACGATTATCGTTTCGATTGATCGAAGCTATAAATTGCTTCGTGCATGGTGCACATAGAATAGAGATGTTTTAAAAACTTGGTGGTCGCCGCCGCGAACTAAAATCATTGTTTGCCTCGATAGTTTTAAATACGCCGAGACATTATACATCATAATAATAAAACATTTAAAATTGCATACTAAAATGCACACATATTGTGCAAGTATTTTAATGGGTGATAATCGAATGGTTACCCCGCTCGTGCTATCGGTATACACTGGCGGGGCACCAGTAAGAGATGATAGGTGAGGATAAAGTAGGTCAGTTAGCCCATCGTGACGAATTCAACAAGAATTGTTCACGATAGTTCCCAGGGGGAGCCACGTGGTGATCGTCCTAATAGAGTATATTGTTAGTAATGGGGCTGTCAAAATCCATTACTAATAATCCCTTTCCTTCTATGTTTCGTGTTGTCATACATGCATACAAAATTATATTTTAAGTATTGGCTACTTGAAAAATAATAAAAATTGGTAATTGTCACTTGTTACAGCTAAGAAAAATGGTGTGGTTCAAAAACTGTCCGCGTCACCAGTATCGGTACGCGCTCGCACGTCCCTCGCTCCGCCGCCGTCGCCGCGGAAACCGGCATCCCACCGGACACCTGTGCAGCGGCCGACCACTTTGCCTACCAATAAAGGTAAGTTATTGATAGATACATGCAAGTAAATATGCCATGATAAACACTAATTGGATAATTTTAATGTGAATTGGTTAGAACTATAAAATTCACAGAAATATGTTTTATAAAAATGAAAATCGGTTTCAAAAAATGGGACCCTCATTAAAATGAACCCTTACGAATAGTAACTGTGCTGTGTGAGTGCCCATGTGTTGTGTAAGTTTAAAACAAATTTATATTACTGCGTTAGCTTTAGGTCTGGCTTTTGCCCTTAAACAAGTTAGAATGAGATTGTTTTTCGGCGCGTTTTGTTCGATCTGAAAGCGTTTCGTATAAATTCTACTTCGGTTTTATGTCAAATAAATAGTCTACGATTTTTCGGCATCACCTTACGAATTTTTAAAAATCTGATCTGTTACACTAACACTGCCCTTCTCAAAAGGCGCCATGATAATTTTATTTTACGTTGGCAATTGTTTGCATTAGACTTTTGCCGCTCTTTACTATCTGGCGTCTAAAACGACTGATGTTTGTTATCGGTCGTTGTTGGTTAACTTTTACAATTTCAATGTCAATTTGTGTTGAAAACTTAACTCTATCACCTCCAGCGGATAGTTTTGGAAATTCAGATTTTCATGCAATGTTCTGTTGCCTTTGAAAAATTCACATTAGGGATTTGGATTTCGCACGATTAATTCAATACGTTTTAAAGAATTTAAAAAAATCTTAAAGTTTTTAAAAGACATTTTGCTCACTCAAACGCTTCTTTGCAAAAAAGAGAAATTTTGCAGTATGTACATATGAGAAAGAATGTTAAAAATTCTTATTAATTTAGTTTTTGTTGGTCCATAAAATAGTAATTTCGCTAAACTACCAAATTAAGAAATGTCGCCTCAGAATTGACCTTATTGTATTGTAAAAAATAAGAAGTTAACATATGTATGTTAAACATCAAAACCAATCGCGAAGAATAGTGATATATATATAGATAAGTTATAATCAAGCTCGATTTTTCTCTGGCGTTCCTAAGCAAAATGTTTGATGACACTTAAAAAGGTAGTGCCACTATACTCTTCTGTCGATTGGAGAAGGTGTTGGATTTCCATCTAAAGGATTTGAACAGTTTTTCAGGTAGCACACACAATCCCGCTGTTCAATTAAGACAAATAGTGTTATATTTGATATAATCGTTTTTTAATGCACGGTTCCTGATGCCCTTAAACTACGACCTTCCCTTGTTTTAATATCATAAACTATCAACAATCGATATATTGTATGTACATAGACAAAAACTGTCATAAGAGTCATAAGTACTCGTACCTACTTGTGTATCAACTCAGTCGGTATTATTTTAAAAGACTAAGGTCTTGTAAGCGAGTACGTAGTCCTTCACTAATATTATAAATGCGAAATCGAGTTTTTTTGTTTGTTACAATTTTGCGTCTAAACTGCTGACTCGATTATGATGGATTTTGGTATAGAGATAAATGTGATCCTGGAGACGGTTATAGGCAACTTTTTCTTCAGTCAGTGAAAGTACCTCGGTCAGACGAATGAAGTCGCGGATAAAAGCTAGTTGATTCATAAAATACAAACTTTTAAACAAAAACTGAAGCTTTTTGTATGATAAATTTCTACACTTTGTAAAAGCTAAGAAGCGTAATAATTACTCATTGTAGATATAAAATGTGGCCGTTACTGTCTTGTTTCTTCGAATTAACAGACAGCGTGTATAAATATCTACTATAAGACAAACATACCTTGACTTTTCAATGTCTTAGGCATATCTACCTATATATCTACTTATATCTTTAAGCTCGTTTCTGTATTACTTGAATATTTAGTTAGCAGTTTATTTAGTTAACTATGCTCATTTTACATTAAGAATATATGTGAAGAGAAATATGATAATAGGGTGAATGTTGATGTACCTGCATACTATTTATTTAAACTATATTAAATAAAAATAATATTTTCTTTATAAACACATTTTTAACTACCTAAACAAACTAAATTTAATGGATTTAATTTCATTCATTAAAACTATGTACTTCTTTAAAACGAGCATGGCTTATACTATGTACATATAACGTAGACAAGACGCTATTCTTGTGAATATTAGCGCCATCTATTGATAACGGTAGATAATGACAAGTGGCTCCATCTAATGGGCATCGGTGGTACCATGACTCATTTGATGAGAACGTGACTAGGTTTAATCTTATTTTCAATTGTCTGTTACAGATGTCGCTCAAAAAAGTGTATTAATTTATTAATTGGAAACTAGAATAACTTTATAATTTTTGTATAAAAGCTATATTTAGTAATAATTAGTATTATCATTTGACATTAAATAATTTTACTTAGGTACTAACAAGAATAAAATGCTTTTTTATCAAATCGAAATCATATAAGTAGAGTAAATAAACATTACTTTCCTTACTAATATTTTGCCAAGGGTGGGTAACGTATAGCATTATCTATATATTTTAATTATAATATGTACTATAATCTGATCCAATAAAGAATATGTTAAAAGACTGTTATTAAAAAAAATAATATTGGATAACAGACTTTTAACATATTCGAAAAACCGTTATGGGCAATACGAAATGTGTGATGACCTTTTTTCCGCCATCAATGTCCAGATGGGTGAAAATGGTATGGTAACCCCGCCTGCGCTAACGGAATACGCTGGCGGAGCACCAGTGAAGGATGATAGATGAGAATGAAAATAGGCCAGTTAGCCCATCATGATGAATTCATCAGGAATTAATCATGATAATTTCCAGGGGGAACCGCTAGGAGGTCGACCTGGTTGGGTATATTACTAGCAATGGGATTCTCAGTCTCCATTACTAACAATCCCTTTCCCCCCCCCGGTATCCGTATTACCCACCCCTATATTTTACGACTATTACAAATGCAAAAGTTTTGGAATGATTTTAATGAAATTTTGGACATCAATACGTTACATCTTAAGTTAAACTTAGTATATTTTATATAGTTAGTAGTTCATGCCGACTAAGCCGCTGGATACCGCTAGTTTAGTATGAATATGAAAGTGATTTTGTTTGTTAGTTACCTTTTGGTGTCTTAACCTCCTGTTATGATGATGATATAAGGTTATTTGAAATGGAAAAGAATATAAATTAATTTTTATCCTGGGTGATCAAAATATCGGTTAAATAATATATGAGTACATATTTTTTTCATCGTACGAATTACTAGCTGGTTGTAAATTCTAAGCTAATATACAATAGAATTTATCAATTCATTTTTATTATTAACTAGCTGACCCCGCGTACTACGTACCGCCTAACAGTCGATTCTTTCATTTTTTTGTTTTTTTTTTTTATTTATTCTGCTATTCGCGACGCCGAGTCAGCTAGTAAGATAAAAAAAGAAAAAAGAAAGTTAATAAGTCAACAATTACATTAGGTATGTCAAAAAATAAAAAATTATAAAACACGCCGTGCCACGTCACTCAATTGCTTTGACTTCCCGGAACCTCTCCACTAATACTTGAACTTTATGGTATGGTATTAAAGTTCAAATTGACTTATAAGTATTATTATGAATCGTTTGTTTTGGGAGTATAGAAAAGTGTTGTTTTTAGACTTTTTCAAGCAATTTTTTTAAATTTTCCTACCGTAATAGTTATCCTCGTAGTTCAAGGAATATTAAAAAAAAGAATTAGCGAAATCGGTTCAGCTATTCTCGTAATTTGCGCTTAGCAACATATTCAGCGATTCATTTTTATGTTATAGATTAATTGATGATAGTCGCGGGTTAACACTAAATAAAATATTTTGACGTTTATTCCATGTGATTTCAATTGATTGATTTTATTTGTTATTGATAAATGTTTTCTATTCTATGAGAGGTTTTCTTTATATGGATGATAATGAAATGGTAAATATCTTACTGAACTGTATGTTATATTGCGGAAGTTATTTTAGTCAATCTTTGAGTGTTGCCAGTCGCGCGTACACTAATGCACGAATAAAGCAGAATTAAAAAAAAAATAAATCAACTAACCAATGAAATGGTAACCTTGTCGGCGCTTAGTAAGTATACGTTAATGAGAGGTGACAGGTGACAACGAAAGCAAATCCGTTGACCTATCATGATGAATCCACCTAGCATTAATGACCATTGTATTTAGGGGGGACTGCGTGGAGATCGACCTGACAGGGTAAAAATGGAATGGTAACCCCGTCTGCACTATTGGTATACCACCTAGTATCACTTACTGGTGCTCTGTGCTGACAGAACAGGTGACAAAAGTCAGTACACACACACACACAAACATATAAACACGATGGATAGGTGCTTAATATTTTTTATTAGGTGGGCCTTTAGCTTGTTTGTTATTCTAATTAATTTAATAAAATATTAAGTATAGTAAGTTACAAATGTTATAAATTATAATAACATGCGGACGAAACGATTAAACTACAAAAAAAAGAAAGTTGGAATGACATAATTTTATCGTTCTTAATTACTAGTGTTACGTTATTAATTCGACATTTAAGACGTATCTACTTAATTCAAGTTAAAAGAAAATGGTCAAATTATTTTAAATTAAATTTAAACTATCTAATTGCGTACTCGAGATGAGTTTACATAATACTAAAGTACTATTTATTTTGTGATTTCTCACAATATAGCTAATTCTATCTATTTGACGAATTTTATGTCATTTCATTATATGAAACTTATCGCTTGTAACTTTGTTTACTTTTAATTTAAAAAAAAATGGTCTCAAGTATTTATTTACAAGTAACAGTCAGGATATTCACTTGAAATATCTATGGAAACAAATAATAATATTTAACTTCGCATAAGTTATATTTTTGTAGTTTCCAAGTTTTGTGTGTTTTATTTAGAATGATCGATTTTGAACAGTTGCCATTAGTATATTCGAAAGTTTATTGGCATAAACGTTTAATTTGACACAAGCACAAACACAGATTCTATTAAGTTTTTTTTGAAATGCAAAATTATGCCTTAAG